CGTCGATGTCCGGGCTTCCCTGCCAAATAAGCAGAATCCACTGCTGTCTTAGTCTTTTTCTAGCCCCAAATAAAGAGATCTTTTCTCTTTTTTCAGTGTATTCGGGTCACTCCAGTGGTCTGGTTTCAAAGAGGAAGTGAGGTTTTATGCCAGTGAAATGTCTTACTTATTGGAGCTTTGCCAGCAGTGACATTTGGAGAGTTGATCAAGGAAAAAGGGTACCTCCCAATTCTATGAGATAATTTAAACAATTCTTCAGAATCAAATAGAGACAGAAGAAGAAATAATCCCCATAACCTTCAAGAGCCTGTGACCTTGAATTGCATTTGATAGAAATTGAGCAGAACAAGCCATTAGTTATAGTTATTTTTAAAAAAAATGAGGATTATGAAACTATTGAAAGATGATTTGAGGTCATGATAGATTACTGGGCTTGGAGTCAGGAAGACTTGTATTCAAATTCTGCTTCCCTGTATCCACTATCTGTATGACTTTAGGGAAGTCACTTAACCTCTCACTGCCCCAGTCTATAGAATGGGGCTAATACTGCCAGTGTCACCTACCTCTCAGGATTGTCCTGAAGATCAGATGAGAAAATGTTTGTCAAGTAATTTTGGCCAACTTTTGGAGTGGCGTGCAAGTGGAAGTATTAGTACATATTATAATAATAACGGTTAGCATTCAGATAGTGGTTTGAGGTTTGCACGATGCTTTACAAACATGATCTCATATTTTTACCCCACTTTTACCGAGGAGGAAGCTGAGGTAGGCAGAGGATAGTGACTTAGCCAGGGTCACACAGTCAGTAAGCATCTGAGGCTGGATTTAAGCTTGCATCTGACTGTAGGCCCAGCTCTCTGTGGCGGGTCAGCTCTAGGGCTAACAGGATATAATAGAGCAGGAGAGGGGAGACTTAGTGCAGCCTGGCTGGAGGTCTGGTTAGAACATCATTGTGACTGTCTTTCCACAGGCCAGGGCCCCGGGGGAGAATCCATTTCCTGGAGAGACTGAGCCATCTGTCTACAGCGGAGCTCTGGTCTCATGGCCACACAGCCCAGAACACTCATTACCTCTGGAATCACAGGATCGGGGGTGGGAGTTCAGATCCTACCACTAACATTTTACTGCCTGTGTGTCTTTGACTGAACCCCTTAACCTCTCTTTATTTGTAAAATGATGGGGTTGGACTCAGTGGTCTCCGGGGTCCCTGCCAGCTCTAGCTCTGTGACCCTAGGACCATGCGCTCCTTGTGCCTCGGTTTCCCCATCTGTAAAATGGACTTGATGGCCTCGGAAATCCCTCCCAGTTTTAGATTGACAAACCTGTGATTGTATATGTGCTTGTAACTTAGAGTGTTTTGTAACCTAACACTTAATCCTTCCCCTACTGAAGGGATGCTTTTCTTACATGTGCCCTTAATCAAACTGGGGTACTGTTTAATCTCAAATGCTTTTTGTTGAATTACGAAAATAAAAAAAAAAGTAGGACTTCAACACTGCCAGCCTGTTTGGGATGCCTCGAGTTAGCTAGAAGATATTTTAACATGGTCTCTTGCATCCCTGTGAGTTTGGGGGCCTGTGTGTGTGCCGTTTTCTATGAATGCGGCTTTGTTGGGGATGCCAGGGCCAGCTGGAGAGCCAGACTCGGGGCCTCGCAGGGAGCACACTTGTAGAATCCCCTTCCTTCATAACGGTGTTTTTCCTAGGACTCGCCCGGGCAAACTGAAGAGTGGCCGGAGGCCCAGTTTCCTGGGATGGCCCTCTCTTTTCCGACACAAATATTTGCACCTAAGCTCAGAACTCCTCCACAGCAGCACCTCCTCGTCCCAGGCCAGCCCCTCTGGCCTGAGCTGCTTTCTGTTTTAGAAGGGGGAGGGGAGGCTGATGTTATCTTTTTCCAGGTTGGAGGGGCGGTTCCTTCTTTTTTCCTGCTCTACAGAGGAAGAGCTGGGCCTTCCAGGAGCTGCCGGGCTGGTGGGAAGGCCTTGGGCCAGCCTCTGACTTGGAAGCAGGGCGCTCTGGGACCTGTTCACAGAGGGATTTTTTTTTTAAACTTCTCTTTGCTGGTGTTAAGCTAGAGACAAACAGGAGGAGTGGTGAAGGGACAGACGGCCAGGCGTCTGAGACTCGGTTGGGTTGTCTGTAAGAGGAGAGTACTGGACTAGATGAGCTCTGACGTCCGTCCGGCGCTCAGTCCTCTGACTCCCTCCCAGTGCCTCTCGTTTAGCATCCATGGGGCCTTAGGGGAGGCTCTGCTCTTGTCTGTACAGTGGGCAGGTTGGACCAGTCTCTGAGGTACTGTCATCTCTGTAGCCACGATCCTGAGGAGCCGTGGACCAGGACTTCTGTTCCCACGTGGCCTGCTTAGCTTCTTTCTGTTTGATCAATGCAAATATAACCCAGCTTCATATCAATCATAGCATCAGCCGATCAGTGAGCATTTATTAAGCACCTCCTGTGTACTAGGCACCATGCTAGGTGCTGGGGACTCAGATAAAAACCTAATGCTTCCTCTGCCCACAAGGAGCCAGCATTCTGTTCCATGAACTGGAAAATTCATTCATCCTGTTGATCAGTGCAGCAAATTCAATTTGGTAAGCACTTACTGAGTACCTCCTATGCGCCCCACTGCCTTTCAGACATCCCCTTCTTTAGATAAGAGACTCTTGGACTCAGGGTTCAGGGTTCAATGGTTACAATGTTAAGAACAGGGGCACAGGTGGAAATCTGGAGCAGTACTTTCAGGGATGACTCTCCCTTTTGCTCTGATCCCTTATGGTGAAAATTCTCCCTTGTTAGAGGTTCTTTCCCTGGAGTCAGAAAGACCTGGGTTCGAGTCCTGTCCCTGTAGCTATGTGACCTTGTGGACACATCACTTAATTTCTCAATATCCTAGGCAGTTAGACTGTAAGACTGCGTCTCAGAGAAGGTGCCAACCTACACACTGGTAAAGGGATTTTCTTTACCTGGGAGTTCCTTTCTTATACCTCCCTTTAATCCATCCATCCATCCTTCCTTCCTTCCTCCCTCTCTTCCCTTCCTTCTTCCCTTCCTCCCTCCCTTCCCTCCTTCCCTTCCTCCCTCCTTCTCTTCTTCCTTCCTCCCTCCCTCCTTCCCTCCCTTTCTTCTTTCCTTCCTTCCTTCTTTCTCTCTTTCCCTCCCTTCCTCCCTTCCTTCCCTTCCCTCCTTCTTCCCTCCCTTCCTCCCTCCCTTTCTTCTTTCCTTCCTTTCTTCCTTCCTTCTCTCCTTCTCTCCCTCCCTCCCTTCTCTGTGTTGATCATCTCCAGTCTCTCCAGTCTAATCTTGCTTGTTTGCAGCTGTTTGCATGTTGTCTCCCTCCCTAGATTGTGAGCTCCTTGAGGGCAGGGCTTGTCTTTGCCTTTGTTTGTATTCCTGGTGTTTAGCGCAGTGCCTGGCACATAGTAGCACTTAATAAGTGTTTGACTGGCCTTCCACTGCAGTGCATTGTCTCTGACAAACCAGCAGCCCAAAGCACAGAGTAATGCAGAGAAGAAAACCCGGTGTGTAGGTGTTCACTACATAAAGGCCAGGATTTTTCCTATGGAATGGAAAAGTGCTTGCTTGGTATTTCCAGGGGGCCGGGAACAGCAGCAGCAGAGAAGCCTTCCGAGGTGCATGACTCAGGCTGAATTGCTACCGTGCTGGGCTGGGCTTGGGGATTTCCTACTTCCAAGAAGGCGTTTGCTCAAGATGGTCACAATTCCACACCTAATCCTGCACTATGTCTGCATGTTGACTGCCTTTGGGTCCTCTTGTTTTGGAAGGAGCGGGAACCACCATCCCTGGAGGCTGAGCCATCCCCGGCTCACTGCCCTGGAGGCCGGGCCGTCCCGGCTCACTGCCCTAGAGGCTGGGCCATCCCCGGCTCACTGCCCTAGAGGCTGGGCCGTCCCGGCTCACTGCCCTGGAGGCTGGGCCATCCCGGCTCACTGCCCTGGAGGCTGGGCCATCCCCAGCTCACTGTGCAGGCTCATGTGTGCGGAGTCTGGAGTAGCTGGTGCCTGACAGTCCAGGTTCACCCTCCTTGGCGAGCTAGGCTTTTCATCTTTTACGAGAACGTAATAGAACTGTCTGAGCTCCGCCACTTAAGATGCTAGCTGATCACTCTCCTCCCGGGAAAGAAGACAGCGTATCTCTTGTTAGGAAGCTTTTAATAGGTTTTCCAAGTGCTTAGTTTCTAGATGGCTGCCAGTTTAAACGCCATTAATAACTTGTTCAACCCATCCCCACTTCAGTTCTGTTAGCGGCGACTTTCTAAGAGTGGAGATCAGTCAGTGCCCCTTCCCCAGCTCTGCGTCTGTCATCCTGTGACCCTTTGCCTAGGTGATCTCTAGGGCAGCTGGGTGGCACCATAGTGCATGGAGCACCTGGGGGGGGAGAGTCAGGATGACTCATCTTCCTGAGTTCAAAACTAGCCTCAGACACTCACTACCTGAGTGAGTCACCTGACCTGCCTCAGTTTCCTCATCCGTCAGATGAGCTAGAGAAGGCAATGACAAACCACTCCAGCATTTTTGCCAGGAAAGCCCGAAATGGGTTCACGAAGAGTCCGACACCAACAGGATCCCTTTCAGCCCTAAATCTATGTTCCGATGAATTGCTGTTTGACGCTGGGAGGTAAATGTTTTCCTCTGCTAATGCAGACTCCCCCATTTAGACCCTTTATGAATTTGAAACGTTTCTAAGACTGTAAGTCGACAAAGGAGTGGTGCGTGGCATTGTTGGCATTTCTTTTACCTCATTTAATCCTCTGGTCCAGGCTGCCCCTTCCCAGGAGATTGGATACCAAATACCTTGAAATGCTGTAACAACTCACTTTAATTTTTTTCTTTTTATTGCATCGACAAGGACAAGCTGTTGAATGGGAAAGATGCGAGGAGGGCGTGGGCTCAGAAGAGAAGACTGGAAAGTGGGGTGAGAGCAGTATTAGAAGACTTAATGGATCTCCCTCTCCCCCCGCCCCTCTTTCTCTTCTGATAGAAGTGGGCATTCTGGCCAAGCAGTACATGCAGCAAGGTCTCTTGGTTCCCGATCATGTGATAACACGGCTAATGATAATGGAACTGGAGTCTAGACGGGTCCAGCCATGGCTGCTCGATGGTGAGTGGGGCATGTGGCAGACTGGTGGATGGTCTTCTTTGTATCTCCATGTAAAGTCTCACGGATGTGAAAATGCTGCCTCAGAATGTTTTAATGATTAAAGAGGGAGAAAAGCGGAATAATCCCAGGATGACCCGAGTCCCCATCTGGGGCCAGAAAAGGCATCGGCAGTTCAGCTGTATCCATGGCTACCGCCTCAAGAATCTTTCAGCATCCAAGGCCCTTGCCATGTGGTCAGTAGAGGCCTTGCAGAGCCAAAGCAGCCCCTTCTTGTCCCTTTGAATGTTCCCCTCTGAGACCAGTTCATCCTTTCTCTGTCTTATTTGTCCATAGTGATTTGCATGTTGGTTTCCCTATGGGAGTGTAAACCCCTGGAGGGCATGTGCTGGGTTTTCTGCCTTTGTTTGCATTCCCAGCGCAGGGCATAGTGCGTGGCACATAGTAGGTGCTTAATGAACGTTTCCTAATGCCAGATATTTCCTCTCTACATGGCCCATACCTACTATGATTGGAGCCACTATGATTGGAGCCACAAGTCTTTGGTGGACAGAAACACCTGGGAATGAGATATCCCATGAAAGGAGGGTTAACTTTTTCCTTGGCTACTTGCATGGAGTAGGCAAAGCCCTTGTCCCCGAGTGGATGCTCAAATAAAATACCAAAGCATGCTCACCTGAGGTTGCTTCTGCTTGCTAAATTTATATGGCAGCTTTATTTCAAATGGTTTTTAAGGGTCACGCAGAGGGCATAGTGGAAAGAGTGATAGATCTGGAGTTAGGAATCAATCAGCAAGCACTTAATAGGCACCTATTGTATGCCAAGCACTATGCTAGTCACTAAGGCTACAAGGACAAAAATGAATGGCTCCTACCCTCAAGGAGCTTACAGTCTGATGTTAGTGACAGCCTGTATGTATATCGGTCTATATAAAACATGGAAAAAAACAAAACAAAACCAGAGTTACCTTTGCGGGGAAGGCCCTGGCAGCAGGGGAGACCAAGTGGAGCCTTTTGAAGAAGAAGGCGCTGCTTGGGCATGGTCACGAGGGAATCCAGAGGTTCTGTGAGATTGAAGTGAGAAGGGGATGGCATTCCTGGCATGGGAGTCTGCCAGTACAAAGGCATAGCAGTGGGAGATGGGATATGTGACAGCAAGAAGGCAGGTGTGGCTGTGCCATAGAGTTTGGAGGGAGATGGTGTGTAAGAAGGTTGACGGAGACTCGTTGTGTTATGGAACAAGCAACTGGTGGCTCAGTGGATACGGCATGGAGCCTGGAATCAGGAAGGCCTAAGTTCAAATGTGAACGCTTACTAGCTGTGTGACCTTGGACAAGTCACTTATCCCCTGCCTCCATTTTTGCTATAAAATGGAGGTGATAATAGCACCTACCTCTCAGAGATGTTATGAGAATCAAATGAAATAATATTGTGATGGGCTTAGTACAGTCTGTGCTACGTAAATGTTTATTCCTTTCCCATGCCTCCAGATGACCGCTTAGTACCCCAATGCAGCTCTTAGGACTGAATTGCCTGTATATCCCACATACATCCCTACACAGATGAAATCCTAAGTTCTGACCAAATAAATGAATGCCTCACCTTGAATTAACCAAGTTTGGAAAATCATGGTTTTATTTTTCTCTTAAGGGGAGAGTGTGCGCCTAATTAATATTTTACACAAGAGAGCTTTACTTGTCAAAGATTCCCTGTAGGAGTCTTTTCAGTAGAACACTACCCTGATAGAAGACCATAGTACATCAGGCTCACCATGTTCTATAGACACATCAGGTGAAGAACGTGAGGGAGGCAAATCCGTTGCCCTTATTCTTCCCATTGAAAATCATCTATTCGTGATCTCTTTTATCTGCACCTTAATTTGGTCAAATTCCAGTTTTGCAGAATACAAAAACAAAAAACAAAAAAACCAGAAACACAGCTCCTGCCTTCAGGGAGCTCACCATTCTAATGGTAGAGACAAGATGCCAAAAAGTGGATGTTGGTGGATGGATGGATGGATGGCCGGCCGGATGGATAGATGGACGGATGGATGGACGGATGGACGGATGGATGGAATGCTTTAGAGCTGGTTGGTGGCCCTAGAGATCAGCTTGTTCAACCCTGTCATCTGACAGATGAGGAAGTTTTCCAGCAAAGGAATGTGATTTGGCTACAGTCACCCAGCTGGTAAATAACAGAGCCAGGATTTGAACCTGGATCTTCTGATTTCCACTTCAGGAGATGTTTCTTATACCACAACTGTTTCTCAGTGTGTTTGGTTTTGCCTTTGAGGCTTATTTCCCCAGTTGTGGCTTTTTAAAAAATTTTTTTATTTTTAGGCAATTGGGGTTAAGTGACTTGCCCAGGGTCACACAGATAGTAAATGTGAAGTGTTTGGTCTGAGGCCGGATTTGAGCTCAGGTCCCTCCTGACTTCAGGGCTGGTGCTCTAGCCACTGCGCCACCTCGCTGCCCCAGTTGTGGCTTTTTTAGAGGGCTCAGTGAATCTCTCTGGCCCTGACAAGTCCAAGGTGGGGGCGGTGTCTGTGTTCTTTGTCTGTTCTCCTCGTGCAGGTGACAGACATGCCGTATGCGCGTGCTTATGTATGCAGACTGTGTATCTGAACACGCGCTATACGTGTGTTTATGTGTGGCTGCCTGTGCACGTGTACATGTGTGTGCATGTATGTGATAAACACACTTGTGGATTGTGTGTGTGTTATGTGTGTGAAAGGTGGCTGAACAAGGAAGATAAGAAAAGAATCCAAACTGATGGAGAACTAGAAGTTTCCATGGTCCAGACGGCTTTGAAGCCAGGCATCTAGCAAATGGTGGGTAGGAGGGGAAGAGATGAGAGCCAAGAAAGCACCAGGCTAGTCTGGGGGGGGTGGGGGTGGGGACGCCTCATTGAGGCTTGTGTGGGCTGGGCCTTGAGCCGGAAAACAAGCTGCCTTCACGTGGGCCGTCCATCGGATTTCATGGCCAACCCCCATCACAGTCGATGAGATCACTTTGCATAGTTTAAATCAGAGATGTCACATTCCCAACCAGTGCCAGGTTAAGATAGAAACAAAATAAATAAAAAGACAAGACAGCAATAATGTTAATTTGTGGTTTTCTACATGATTATGTGAGGCAGGGATCCATTTCTGTTGGTTTAAAACTATTAAAGCTGCATTAAGGCTTTTAGGATGCCCAGTGCATGTGTGTGTGCATATACGCAATTCATGTATTTATGTTCATATGAACGCACACATATGCACATGCGTGCATATCTCTGTCAGTATGTGCACAAAGACACAGGTGTGGCATATTGGTGCCATTTGGCTTTTACATCACTCACATTTCCCAATGGAAATGGATTGAGAGCTGCCGCTTTAAGCCGGGAAGACCTGGGTTCAAGTCTAGCTTCTCTGATATATACTGGAAGTATGACCCTCAGTGAGTCACTGAAGCCCTTAGCTTTCTGAGTAGTTCTCTTAAGACTATAAGTTGCAAAGAAGATACAGCTTGTATCTGTAGAAGGAATTTCCACCTCAGGGAATTCTGTTAAATCTTTAATAAATCTAGTCGCTATCCTACATCTCCTGTGTATCTATCTCTCTCCTCTCCTTTTTCCAGAGACATGACTTATAACAAAGAATGACAAAGGCAAAAAATAATCCAGCAAAACTAATGAATATTTGGAAAGTCTGATGATATATGTAGTATTCCAGACCCATTAGCTCCCACTTCTATCAGAGCATCCTTTCTAGAGACTGGGCTACCATGTATGCCAAACTTGTCTTGGCTTTTGGTTTATTTGGTGTGACAGGATGTAAAGAGCCTTGGGTTTGGAGACAGAAGCCCTGGGTTCAAATCCTGACTCTACCACTGTCTACGTAGAGCAGTTCCTGGCACAAAGGGAATGCTTAAGCAATGCACATAGGAAGTGCTTAAGCCATGCACTCCCAGTCCCTGGCACATAGTAGGCACTTCAGAAATGTTTGTGGATTGATGGATGGCAGGAGTTTATTTATACTTGTTGATTTTCTATAGCAGGGAGATAAGCTGTTAGCTTCATGTGGGGCTCATAATTAGACAGGTTTAATTAGGAAATCTGGATGAAATCCTTTGACTCCTTAAAAGAGGGAATTGCTAATCAACGAGCAAACATATTAAACAGCCAGTATGTTCCAGGCACTTTACTAAGGGCTTGGGAGACAGAAATAATTAGGAAGCAGCCCCTGCCCACAGGGCGCTTACATTCTACAAGGGGAGTCATCAGGTGAAGCTGCAAATGTGTACAAAGTAGCCCCACAGTAATTGTGAGGGAAGGGTGTTTTGGAGGGGAAACCGCTGCCCTGGCACCAGGGAGTTGGGGGAAGCAGGGAGGGTTTTATGCCAGCAATGTGTATTGATTTGAGCTTTGAAGGAAATCAGGGCTTCTGAGAGAGAGAAGGGAGAAAGGAGGGCATTCCAGGCATGAGGGCTTTTTCCCGAAAGGACTACTTTTGATTAGACTCTTAAAACACCATTATTAAACAACCTGCAATTTTCATTTGAAAGATGCTGGAAGAAAATAGACTGTGTTAAATTTTTGCATCTTGAGCAGTGGAAGATGATGTGAACGTGGGGGAAGTGGAGGGTTCCAGAGAGAAAAGGACCGAACTTGGAATCAAAATATTATAATAACAGTAATAAAATAGTAACATGGATTATATATATTTATATATTATTTATAAAATATAATAATATAGAATAACAACAATAGTGCACATTTAAGGTTTGCAAAGCACTTTATTTTTGTTTTTTTGCTTTTTGGTGGGGCAATCCAGGTTAAGTGACTTGCCCAGGGTCACACAGCTAGTAAGTGTCAGTTGTCTGAAGCTGGATTTGAGCTCAGGTCCTCCTGACTCCGAGGCTGGAGCTCTGTCCACTATGCCACCTAGCTGCCCTACGAAGCACTTTGCTGTTGCCTGCAACTAAGCGATGTACCTCATGGAGGAGTGTGAAATGAAGAAAG